CCACAACGCCTGGCTATTTTTTTTGGTTGCAGCCATTATTGTTGTTTGGTGGCCCGGGCTGGATTCGAACCTGCCAGCTCAGGTGTACGTGGCTGGCGCCTTAGCCGCTTGAGCCATAGGCGCCGAGCCACTTTCTTTTTTTAATACAATTTTGTACTACTTCAACATAAAGACCCGAACATACTCACACATATGGTATTTTTCCTCAAACATTTTCTTTTGTACCATAAAAATGAAGCAAAAAGAAAAAGTATGTTTTGTTCTTTTCTGATAGTTTTCTTAGGATCCAGATTTTCACAAGGTAGCTAGCTACTAAAATAAAATAAAGAATAACTTCCTTTCAGGGTACACATGGGGAACATGGGGGAGAGGGAAATTACTTCTGCTTATGTGAGAAGCATGGAGGACTTATCTACAGGTGGAGAAAATTCTGTTCTCTGTTCAGCATGTCTGAGATCTCATCACAAGCGCATAAAGAAAATCACAAATGTTTGTAACATTCTGACAACCTTATATTCTAAAATTTAATGAAATGACCATATGTATATATAAAATAATATTGCATACATTTTGTCTGTTGCATTATAAATAATGCTGCTGCCTTTGTATCTTTTCAAACATGGTATTCAAGTTTAAAAAATATTAGATGACTGTTTAAATTTGTGATTTTTATATGAGCTGTATTGTATTGAGGGTATTTCTATAAAAATTGCTGATAAATAACTGTCCAAAAGAAGGTAATTTTTATGTACTTAACTTTATTTTTTTAATTGAGACAGTGTCTCATTATGTCGCCCTTGGTAGAGTGCTCTGGCATCATAGCTCACAGCAACCTCCAATTCTTGGGCTCAAGCAATTCTCTCATCTCAGCCTCCCTAGGAGCTGGGACTATAGGTACCCACCACAACTATATACTTAACTTTATAAAACCAAACCAAACCAAGTGGGATTGAGTAAATAACACATGATTATAATTTAAATGCACAATCTTTCCAACCCTATCTTATCCTCACCTCTTCTTCTCCCAACTTAGTCTTTCCCCATTTAAGTTGCTTAAAATACATTAACATTGGCCAGGCATGAGTGGCTCATGCCTGTAATTCTAGCACCCTGAGAGGCTGAGGCAGATTGATAGCTTGAGTTCAGGAGTTTGAGACCAGCCTGAGCAAGAGCTAGTCACCATCTCTACTAAAAATAGAAAAGCTAGCTGGGTGTCGTGGCCTGTAGTCCCAGCTATTTAACTGGGAGGCTGAGGCAAGAAGGATTGCTTGAGCTCAGAGTTTGAGGTTGCTGTGAGCTATGATATCCAGGGCAACACAATGAGATTCTGTCTCAAAAAAAAATTATACATATATATGTGTATATATATGTATTACCATGGCAAATAACTATGCATTATATAGCCCATCTTCTTCCCAAACCCATTATAGCTGTCTTGATTCTGTTTCCCCTCCACTGTACTCCCTTGCACTGTCTTGGCTCAGCACTTTAAATTCCTTGTCTGGATTACTTCAGTACTCTTCTAACTCATCTCCATACTCCTCAAAAGGCAACCCCGTATTTGAACCTCCACAAAGCCAGGTAAATGCAAATCTGATTATTTCTCATTATTTTTTATTTTATTTCTCCAGAGATGGAGTTTCACTCTGTCACCCAGGCTGGAGTGGGATCATTACTCAGTGCAACCTTCAACTCCTGGTTGACCTGTCTTCCACCTTAGCCTTCCTAGTAGCTGGGTTTATAGGCACGTACCATTATATCTGGTTAATTTTCAACAATTTTTTTTTTGGTAGCGGTAGGTTCTCCCTATGCTGCCCAGGCTGGACTTGAACTCCTGGCATCCAGTGATCCTCCCACCTTGCCCTTTCAAAACATGGGATTACATACAGCTTGTTTCTTATTCTTCGTTCTCTAAAAGCTTCCTATCACTTTCATGGTAAAATTCCAAATTTCTTGGCCTTTAAAACATTTTACTATCTGGTTTTTTTTCAACTTCATTTTTCAGTATTTCCCTATATAAATCCTATACCCAGCCACACAAATAATTATTAATAAGTCATGACGTATCACACCATTATCTCTTGGCACATGGTTGGCTCATCCTTGCAGGACCCCAAGCAGTTCTTCCCTGTGAAGCTTTTTCTATCCTCCACCAGATGACCTGATGACACCTTCACGAGTACATCATATGTGTCTCCTCTATATTTATATAACTCCTATACCTGACATGGTTCTTAGCATAAAGCAATACCTTAATTAAAGCCTGTTGAATAATGCCTTTAAAGAAAATTCTCCAAGGGATAAACAGTACAAAAGGCTTAGGTATTTTACATCTCTTAATACATTATGGAAACAGTGATTTCTAAAGGGGTTTTACAAATTTATGCCATTAGAAATGTAAAACCACATAAGCATAGGGCAGTACTACTTTCTTTTAGAAAGATAAGGCATAAAACTATGTTTTGTTATTTATGTATTCGCAAAATAGAATAGTTTCTATGTTGATCGCTAATTTTTTTCCTCCTTGGAGAATTATTATTTTAGAGTCACCAGGTATTTATCTGTTGAGAACTTGATTTAAAAAACCCATCAATTTCAGCTCAGCGCCTGTGGCTCAAGCGGCTAAGGCGCCAGCCACATACACCTAAGGTGGCGGGTTTGAGTCCCCAGCCCGGGCCCCAACAATGATGGCTGCAGCCAAAAAATGGCCAGGTGTTGTGGCGGGCGCCTGTGGTCCCAGCTACTTGGGAGGCTGAGGCAGGAGACTCGCTTGAGCCCAGGAGTTGGAGGTTGCTGTGAGCGTGATGCCATGGCACTCTACCCAGGGGGATAGCTTGAGGCTCCGTCTCAAAAAAAAAAAACAAAAAAACCCATCAATTTCAATAAGTTCAATACAGGTAAAAAAGTATAGTTATTAATCCTCTATAATAGCTAGAGCTAGCATTTTCCCCAGATTTTTCAAGTTTTATTTAATTATGCAAATTATCCAAGGCATCGTAGTTCACAGCAACCTCAAACTCTAATGGCATAAATTAGTGTTATCTTAGAAATATTTTTTCCTTTAAAATTTCTTATTTCCCTTTAATAGGTACAGTTATTATACTTTTATTTTACTTTTTTTGAGATAAGAGTCTCATTTTGTTGCCCCTTGGTAGAGTGCGGTGGTGTCGTAGCTCACAGCAACCACAAACTCTCGAGTTCAAGCAATCATCTTGCCTCAGCTGGGACTATAAGCGCCTGCCACAATGCCCAGCTATTTTTAGAGACGGGGATCTCACTCTTGCTCAGGCTGGTCTTGAACTCGTGAGTTCAGGTGATCTGCCTGCCTCAGCCTCCAGAGTGCTAGAAATACGGGTGTGAGCCACCACGCCTGGCCCAAGTAAAGTTATTATACTTTTAAACACATAAAAATTGGAACTCTACTTTGCAGTTTTTATTAATATAATTTTATAGTTATCCTTTTTATCAGCTCAAGTTTATTTTGGAATGTAAATGTGTGAAGTGTGTAAATGTAAAGATGTGAAGTAAGGCAGAGACAGTGAATATGGACTCTTCTTTTAGAGGTCTGAATAAAAGAGATAGGAGATAATAAAATATAGCTAAAAGGGTTCTTGTAATTAAGAGAAACTGAAACAAAAATACAGACATAGACATCTGGAATCAAATAGAAAACCATGAGATAAAACTAAAATCTTATAGTTATCTGATCTTTGATAAACCAAACAAGAACATTCACTGGGGGAACGAATCCCTATTCAACAAATGGCACTGGGAGAACTGGATAACCACATGTAAAAGACAGAAACTGGACCTGCACCTTTCTCCACTCACCAAAATTAATTCAAGATGGATAAAAGATCTAAATCTAAGGCATAATCAATAAAAACCCTCAAAGAAAGTATGGAGAAAACACTTGAGGCTATCAGCCTGAGGAAAGACTTTATGAAGAAGACTCCAGTGGCAATTGCAACAACAAACATAAACAAATGGGACTCAATTAAACTGAATAGCTTCTGTACAGCTAAGGAGACAACAACCAAAGCAAAAAGACAACCATCAGAATGGGAAAATATATTTGCATATTATGAATGGGACAAAAGCTTGATAACTAGAATCTACAGAGAACTCAGATTAAGCAACAACAACAAAAAGCCAACAATTCCCTATATAAATGGGCAAGAGAGATGAATAGAACCCTCTCTAAAGAAGACAAATGGCTAACAAGCATATGAAAAATGCCCATTGTCCCTAATTATCAGAGAAATGCAAATCAAAACCACCCTGAGATATCACCTAACCCCAGTGAGAATGGCCCACATCACAAAAACTCAAAGCTGCAGATGCTGGTGTGGTTGTGAAGAGAAGGGAACACTTTTACACTGCTGATGGGACTGCAAACTAATACAACCCTTACGGGAGGAAGTATGGAGAATCCTCAACGAACTCAAACTAGACCTCCCGTTTGATCTTGCAATTCCATTACTGGACATCAACCCAGAAGAACACAAATCCTTTTATCATAAGGACATTTGCACTAGACTGTTTATTGCAGCTCAGTTTATAATGGTCAAATTGTGGAAACAATGTGGATGCCCACAAATCCAGGAATGGATTAACAAGCTGTGGTATACATATACCATGGAATACTATACAGCTACTATACAGCTACAGCTAAAAAGACGGTGACTTTACATCTTTTGTACTAATTCGGATGGAGCTGAAATACATTCTTCTTAGTAAAGCATCACAAGAATGGACAAGTAAGAATCCAATGTACAATTCTGATATGAGGACAACTAATGCCAGTACATGATAGGGGGAGGTGAAATCTGGGCAGGGAGAGAGGGAAGGACGGAGGAGGGTGTGAGGCCACAGAGTGTGACACATCTCTTGGGGGGTGGGACACTATTAACAGAGGGACTTCACCCAGCAAATGCAAGCAGTATAACCTGGCTCATTGTGCCCTCAATCATTCATTCCCCAATAATAAAAAAAAATAGAGAAACTGAAAATAAATTATAAGGTGGGCTGATTTATAATCCAGGGTCACTGAGAACACAGGGGAGGGAAACAAGTAGATAAGTGAATAAATTCACTTCCTACAGTAAAAGTAATAACCCAATCTGAGCTGGGAAAAAAGGCAGGTAAGTAAAAGTATGTGGGTTTGCACTGTTTGTCAGGAGGGGAGGAGGGACTTGCAGGGAGTTCCTGGCGTTCCTATCATCTTAAGAGGTAACATCTTAACAGTCTAATGAGTGTTGTGGAGGTGACAGAGATCTGGCAGAGGCATTAAGGGGAATAAGAAAGAACCCTGTTGCTGCTTAGATGCAGCTGGAAACCATCAAGCTTTAGTAATGCAGTCTGTATTTCTTTGTGATTTATCTCTGACAGCATTTTTATCATTTGAGTGGTTTTTTATCATTTGAGTCCAGCAGCAATAGGACTATAGTTGTTACTGAGTGGTTGAGGCAGAAGAGATGCAAATAGCCAAGCATGTTGGGGAGAAAATATGTGCAAATAATCAAGAACAGTGTATAAACTGGGTAGGGAAGAAAGAGAAGTAAGGTGGATGCTGGGATAAAATGGGTCAGATTGCAGATACTTATATGGGGGAGACATGAGTGGCCTTTCCCTTTTTTTTTTTTTTTTTT